GATGGCAAATTGACAACACAGACACGGAAGCGGAGGAATCACAAGCTTAACCTGGTGTGGTGTAATGAAGCTGTCTAACAGCCACTTGTAGACATATTTCAGATTCACAACACATACAGTCGTGTGGTTCAGTGCAACTTTACTCACACAGCCCACATGCTCTCTGCTATGAATCCCGGCTCCATTCCAAGAGCTCTCTTACTGTACCACTAAGATTGCTCTTACTATCCTCCACCTCCCATCACTCCTGTAATGTAAGCAAGTGGAGGCACAAAGGAGTCCTTAAGCAAAAAGAGACAGTAGCACCCTTTAATCAATATAGTGGGTAGTATGGTTGACCTCCATCCAAGTCCGCTAACATTGCCAGTGACCTTATCCACGTCAGAGCCAAACAGTTATTTCAATCTCAGACCAAAGGTATATATGAGGACAAGCACAGCAGGGAGTATGACACAAGTGGTACTGCTCAGCATGTATCTCTTCATGGTGATGCGTGATGTGACTCAGACGCGGTCGGAGATTGTCTGCCAAATGTCACTGAGAAAAACATATTGAGTTAAACATCGTATGGTAAGCATGGAAAAAAAATATCCTCCCACATCAACTTCTGAACTTAAGACAGATTTAGATGAAAAAGAAAAGGAATGATCCGGCCTCCTGGTGTCATTCTTGAAACATCAATTTTGGGTTTCTGCTCCGTTGGTTTGCCAGGTTCTTTGTGTTCTGGATATGTTTTATGACTTTGGAGCCCATGAGACCCATTCAAACTGCTCTGACACTTAAATAATGGATGGTCTACAAAATTTAGAAAGTCCTTTTTTTTCCATCAGCCTGGCTGCTCACGTATCTGAGTCTTATGGTTCTCAATATGGTTTTCCTCACGGGAGCATTCGCTGCTCAGTTTTGTTTTTCTTATAAATGCTGCCCATGGGAAACATTATTAACCATCACCATGTCAAATACGATTTTATGCTGATGATACACAATTGTTCACATCTGTTTTGCCAAATGGTCTCGTTGCTTGTCTCACGGACATGAATGTATGGATGGGTAAACACTTTTAGAAACCAAGTGAGGAGAAAACTAAAATTATTTTAATTGGACCCAAAGCACCAAGAAGAAAATCTGCAGTGGAGGATTGGTGGTCTCAGAAAACAGATTAAAACACACACACACACTTGAGAGTGAGTCTTGACTGAGCTCAAAATTTGTATTCTCATCGTAAAAATGTCGTCAAAACATCTGATTTCTTATCTCGGGAATATCTCCTGTATCATCTTTAATTCAGAAGGATGCTTAAAATTAGACACTGCACTGTCACCTGTGTCTTTTAGAATTGCTTTTAAAGTTCTTCTACTTGTTATGAAGCTTTTAAATGATCTTAACCTTCCCTGAATAAAAGATCTTGTATGTTCCAGCCAGATGACTGAAGTGCTCCACAGCTTATCTTTCAAAATGTTCGGCCTGTATCTGTAGCAGTACCAGCGAGGCTGCCTTCTGTTGTTACGCCCCTAAACTATGGAGCACACCGCCTCTGGATATTAAAAAGGTGACCTCAATATTCTTATAATATTATTCTGGTTTTTAATTTGGAGGAATATTAGAGCCTTAGTTTCAACCATTGCTTTTGCATTCATATTTTTACATGTGGTTATTTTATTTTACTGGATTGGTTTTTCAGTTTAAATATTCATTTATTTCATATTCTTTGCTTTAATTAATTTACTTGACTTTGAACTAATTTGTATTTTACAGTTAAATGTTTTATATTGCTATGTGAATCACTTGAAGTTGTGTGGTCGCATAAAAGCTGCTGTATAAATAAAGTTGCATTGCTGTGTAAATGTGCCTCCTCAAACGGGTCTGAAAACTTTCTACATTCTTTTTCCCCTGTTAAAGGTTTTTCTTTGTATTTTCCTTGTTGACGGTTAAGAACAGAGGATTACACACCTCGTTAAGCCCTATGAGACTAATTGTGATTTGTGAATATGGGCTATTCAAATAAAATTTGATTGATTGAAAAATTGCATGAGCTTAAAGTTTAATTAAAGTTAGAAAGTGCACTTGATTATTAGACGGCCGGGTTTTAATATGGAAAAAAAAACTAGCATGTGTTTGTCACAACGTCAGTAGCAGAGAGCTGTGGAAATAATTTCCTTATGCAAATGGGGCTTACAACCTGAGGAAGCCACCTCTGCAGATGTATAAACCCTGTGTTTTGTTCTAGAGGGAAACCAACAGCATGACACAGCAACTGATGGAGGGATGAGTGGCAACGATGCTCATGCAGCTTAGCACACGTTTGCATTAGCATAGCTAATTAGGCATAATTGGGCGCTTTCTACTATCACCTCTCCTGAGGCCTATATATAACCTCTGTTGTATTTATGCAGAGGTTATTTGGAGACAACAAAATCCAATTACACTCAGTGTATGTGCTGTACATGAATTGTAATTAGCATTTGATCACAGCCCCAAAAACATCTTGGTAAATAACGTGACTAACAGATCAGTCATTGACTTTAACGAGCTGAAGAGGAATGTTGCATGACATCGAATCATAATTGCTAAAACCTCTGGATTATTAAAAATAAAAGTGTTTCCAAGTATTTCTTAATCCTTTAGAATTTTTTATCCATCACAATCTGAATCCTTGTTGTGGTAAATGGACCCTCTCCAGTTCCCTAGGAGGTGGAATCCAACAAAATGTCTGTGGTCAAATACTGGACAACTGCATGATTTTCAATCCGAGCTGAACTGTCAAACTAAATAAAAAAACAACTGCAAGTCCAAGATTCTGTCTCAGAAACTTGGACTAAAATCAAGCAGCTTAAAGTAATCAAAAAACACTGAATAAATAATCCAAATATAAACCAGATGTCAAAAACTGTGAAATGAACCATGCTCATAATTCAGTACTAAATATGTTGTGCAAATGTCGAGCTGAATCAGACGACTCCACATCACAATTACTTCCAGACAAGAATTCTTACAAGTTAAACTAATGATAAAGGAATCTTCTGATCTACTGTACAAAGCTGTATCACTGCTGAAAAAAAAAAGGAAGGATGGCGACACCAGACGCCACCGTGTCGGTCTAACTCTGTGTACTCTGTCATATCGGAGACAGAATAATAATGAAATAATCACGATCGGGCGGCAGCAGCAATGGATTACTACTTTTAAACTTGTCTGATGTAAGAGTTTGAGGAAAAATATGAATTATTCTACAGTGTCTGCTCTTTTTGGACGTCTCCTTTAGAAATATGTGTTGTCACTGGAGCAGAATCAGTCTTTTTCCTTTTATTTAATATCAGATTTCAAAACTTTGCTCCTTTGCCCCCGATGCAGACTTCACACAGTCGAGGTCATTTTGCTTCATTTGAATTATCTGAATGGTCAACAGGGAACCTCCCCCAACTAGATGACATTGCATTTGAAATAGACAGGGTCCCTCACACACACACACACAGACTTACACACACACACACACACACACACACACACACAGACTTACACACACACACACACACACACACACACACACAGACTTACACACACATGTTCAATCAGTAAGAAAACTATCAAATTCCCATCGAATCAAAACCATGTCAGAGCCAAATAAGGCGGCTCCATGATCATTACACCCTGACACTGCCAATTATAAATACAATTTCTCTATTTTGTCTGTAAGAGGCAATAGAGGGATTAACTTCGGGCCTCTCCGCTTCCCCTCTTCCCTCTCTCATGAAGCAGACTATGTTTACTGACTAATCTCATTTCCTGCTTTGACCACAATGTGATTACCAGACACATAAGAGATAATAAAACCATATATCAGCTGTACCAAAGAACACAAATTAAAACCTAAGCTGAAGCCTTGAGGAACATCGAAAAGCAGAAAGGAGGAAAAAAAATCCCCACAGTGAGAGGAGTACTTGGTGCTGAGTGCATACAGCCCCCTACTGGTAAACACTATTAACCATTTAGACAAATACAACACAACAAAGCTCCATGATCTTCTGTTGCATATGAGCAACAGGTTTTTCGCAGCCGGTTTCCAAACCCATCCTGATGTCACGGTTACAAAATTCAGTCTTTATTTGAGCAGCTCTATTTATAAATGATCTGAAATATTGGGTGTCTGCTATTAAATTATAAACCGAGGTGTCGCATTTGATTGTCAGGCTGTTAATTCTGCTGTGGAATGTTTTCCCAAAGATTATTTATCATTTTACAACCTGTGGGTGAGGGCTGGTCTTTGGGGAGAGGCAAACACTCATGTACGATGAAAAACCGGTGAAAGGTAACAAGTGGCTTTTGCTGGTTTTGGTGTGAATAAGTGCTGCCCTTAAAAATGTTAAGAATGTGAAACAAAAACTTGATGGCTGAATTTACTGACGATTAAAGATAACTGACGCTTTTGCACAAGTGCATAATTAGTTGTATGCTGATTATTGATGTTTTTAGTTTCATCTATATTGTATGTAAAGAATTTTGAGCTGGATTTCTTGTATGAAAGGTGCAATATGAATAGTTTATACTATTAGTAAATCCAGTTCGGTGTCTATTTAATAGAAGTGAATGTGGCTTGCTGTGATTTATCAATAAGCAATGTAAAGAACAGGCTGGATCACGCCAACATTTAAACAGCAAAAGTCATATAACCCATAAATCCACTCGACTGCAATGATCAGCATGTCTCCAGATTTATCACAAATACTTGCATCAAAGCTCAACACACATACATGGAGTTTAAATTCAGACCAAGTCTCTGCCATGAAATGTGACATGCTGCTGAATCACACTCATGGTTTAGATGGTGCACAGGTTTGGATCCCTCTGAGAAGAGGGTGTGAGGGTGAATAAGATGCTCAGAGGTTGCAGGGAAGGAAGCTCATAGTTCAAGACTGTGTGATAGTTGAATTTGCTTAAGGGGGGGAAGAAGAGACACGACACGTGGTGGAGAGAGGGCGACGATCCGCCGAGCTTCAACCCACCTGATATCTCCTGATGAGGCACATTGACGAGGCTGAAGCCTTTGGCGTTGTAAGCTTGTCTCACCTCGCTACAGCTCCGCGCTTTGCTCTCACCGGCACATGACAGGGACAGCAGCAGCATCGGCAGAGTACATAAGGCGACTTGCAGTTTCCACATCGCACACATCAGTGGAATCCTCGGTGGTGTTGCTCCGTCAGAATCGAACAGAAGAAATCCAGATGTGCGACGGGAAGATGTCTCCACTGGGCGCGATGTCAGATGTTCATTTAAAAAAAACAAATAAAGAGAATAATCACTCCTCACTTTGCGTCCTGGTACGTCCACCTCATCGTCAAAGCTTCGTATGTTCCCCTTAGAAATAAAAAAGAAAAAGAAAAACACACACAGAGCGCAGGGAGTCCGCCTGCCCTCAGTCTGCCAGGAGAAATCCGTGAGAGGAGCGCAGACGCTACCTGGTGCTCCCTGTGCCAACAACTTCTCCCGCACACACACACACAGACAGGCAGAGGGAGAGAGAGGAGCCCCGTGTGTTGGTGTCGGTGTGTGTGAGGGGAGAGAGACGCAGAGGAGACACGATGCACGGAGACTGGGGGGGGGCGGGGGGGCAGAGCAAAATACGGAGTGGAGTGGCTGCGACTTCAGCGGCGCACATCACATCCAGGGGCGCGCACTGTCCTCCGCCTTTATGCATCCCTGCTAATGCGCACAGCCGCACACTTGCTGGAGGCGCGCGGGCGGGGGTTGGGGGTTGGGGGGGGGGGTCGGTGCTCCAGACCGCAGGAACGACGCGCACTGACCAAACATACGCACGCGCACGCACGCACACACACACACACACACACACACACAAGGTTTCATTTCTTGGGTTTGAATCAATCCGCTGCTGGTCCAGACACTCCCTGACGATCATTCAGTGTCCTCGGATAATAGAAACCTATGGAGTCATATAATGTCTGTCTTTGACTGAGGGCAGGACACACAACACATTTCCTCCAGCAGCTGTCAACATCTGTCTCTCAGTGGCACACACACACATAAATCATTCAAAAACTTACATTTACGCTGCATCACACACAGGTGCTGCTTCAACAAACTGAAAATTGTTGGGCCTACTTAAAAACATTACTTGAATTGGTAAAGCACAAATAATTTTGGTTTCTTAAATTTGAATCAGCAAATCTGTAAATACAACGTATTACCTTTAAATCTAACAAACAAACAAACAGAATCAGTCTCCAACTGAAAAAATATAAATGCATAGTTTTAATCTGGATATAATTTTTGACCATGTAGTCCAGTTTCACACACTTAATGTAAATGCTGTACGATTTGTCTGTCCGGCCTTCTTTGACCCAAATATCAAAGATATCAATGAAATCAAAGTCGGCACTCAAAAAGAAAATAGTTGAGTTAATTAAGTCTGTTCAATTTAAAGTTAATAAGTTATATTTACAAAATTGCTAACTTGAATTTGAAAGAAAAGATATTTATTTGTGCGTTACTAATTTAAGTATTTTTTTTAACTTGGTCCTCCAAAACATTTCACAAATCTGAGGTAGATCAGAGGGATGACACGTCACCAAATCCTCCCACCATCCAGAAATGAAGCCGAAATATCAGAGATACGAATGCTGCCATCTTGTGCATTGGTGTGTGGTAGTGATTGGAGATTGCAGCCCCTGAGGTTAATGAAGATGATTTTATCTAATTTTACTTCAGCCACAAATAGGCGAATCCATCTCAAGCAGTATTTTAGCACACAAGAGTCTGATCACAGCAATATCTCAGTTTTATTTTCAGCAGAGGAAACTTTGTTTGTAGAAGGAAAAGTTTTCTTGTTATGATGAAAAAAAATCTAACAGAAAAAGTATCTCGTTATAACATGAAAGATTTTCTCAGGAGAGAATAAAAGTAGACTACATCTCACATGATCCTGTACAAACACTCCCACAGTGTGTTTCTGTGGTTTGGGAAGCTACAGCTGGCTTGTTAAAATCAACTTGAAAAACACACTGTAAAAGTGCAATTAAGCAAATAATTCAGGGTTGTGAAATTTTGAGGGAAAAGTCAGAAAAGCAGTGTTGTGGGGCTGGGCTGTAGAAATGTTATGGAAATAACACTTTTATTCTTTTAGGGCTAATACATTATGAATATTCATCCAGCAAAGTGGGATTCTCATTAGTTCAGTTGTGGACACTAGGGAATGATGCTGTCTGCAGCTGAGAGAGAATGTGGCATGTGACAGTAATTCATGATGTTTCATTACACCTTCAGCAAAACACTTTTCATATCTGAGGTACATCAGTTACATCTTGCCACATCTGCACGTCCTCACACTCTCCAGGAATGAGTCAGTCTCAGTTGAACACTTGAACTTGATCAGTGAGATGAGAACAACCTAAAGTGACAGGAACCATCTTTGAGAAAAATAGATTTGACATGTACTTTGACTTTAGTGTGTGTCTCATCCAATAACATGGAGGAGGCTGTTTTTATAACCTATACTGCAGCCAGCCACCAGTGGTGATCAAGATGCTTTGGTTTCAGTTTTGGGGATCAGTCATATTAAATAAAGTCAGCGTGCACGACTGAGCGAGAATAAGGCCAGCTGTACTAAGAATGTTTCTACAGAGTTTGGCGTGTTTGCTACAGTGACAGTACTTCTGCTAACTAGCTCTAACACTTCTGCCTACAAAGTGTAATTGTTGCCTAAATCTAACCACAGAAAATGCTGTGGACGCAAACCCAAGTCTTTGATGTGACACTCGTGCACTTCGTATGACCTCCATCCACCCCAAGCTATGTTGCAATGACTTCGGCACGGTTCAAAGATAGTTCATAGTCCATACACAGTGTTCATGAAATCATTAAATAAATATAATAAAAAAGATAATAAGCAATCCAGCCAGTGACCAAATATTGTTGAAGACTATTTGATGAAATTTAACTTTAAGGGGACAGGATTGGTCGCTTTACACAAGCACACAGAGGTAAAGTAAACACACTTATGAGCTGAATGATCACAAACTGACACCAACTGGGTTTATTAACTTCTTAATTTAATTTGCTGCCGTTAAAATTTGAAGGTACAAATACAGTAAACTGTCGGTGTGTCATGCTACCAACCAAACAAGGAACCTACAAAAACAGCCTCATTTCACACAGTCTTAAAAAAAATACATAGAAACATGCAACTGCTGCCAAGACAGACACCGAGACACCACCACCATATGCTGCCAAACAGCCATGTTAACTAGACTTCTCCCAAACACTGAAACAAAAAAAAGATCTCAGTTGTGTTTTTCTCAGGTGAAAATAATCAGTGTGGAGAATCCACTGTGTATATGATGAATCTAGATGTGTCAAATTTGCACTTTCTCTTAATAAACTGAAATGTTGTCACTGTCATTCACATGTTTTAAACGTGATATTATTTCGAACAACACATTATGAAGGGCGAGGGGCTGTCTTATTTCTGTCTGTGTTTCTGTTGCTGCTCTGCTTCTCTTCCTGCTTCTCTCTTACTTTCTTGTGTCTGGTTGTTTTACATCTTACTGTTGCTGCATCTCTCAGTTTGTGCTGTGCTTGAGGATTCAGGTGGTGCTGCTGGTGGTGTTGACACCACTCTGTTTTTTTGTTCAGGTAAAGCAGAGCAACAGAAGAAGTTTTTTAAAAGGTGAAATATTTCTGTAGGATTATTACATAAAAGATACGTTTAAAAGAATGTAGATATAGGAGATAATATTGTTAATAATAATCTAAGAGCAGTAATTTTCCTCATACATCACATGTAAAATTGACCTGTTTTGAAAACTATTTGAGATATACACCAGTAAGAAAAGACGTCTGTGGGCCTAAATCAGATGAAGGAAATTTGTGAAATCAGTGTGAGATTCTGACAGTATGGTGCTGCTGAAGAAGACAGACTCTGTCATTTATGGAATCTAAATGAAATAGAAAATGAAATTAATTTTGCTTAATATTATTCCTTCCCTACAAAGTCTTTGTTTAATGAGATTAAGAGGGAAACCTGTTTTCGTACAGGGAGGACTGTGACAAGCAGCAGTGACTGAAAATCAAACATGTGGTGATTACTTGGAGAGGGCTCAGGAACTTTTTCTTCTCTTTTGAACAAATGTGACGGAAGTAATTTCTTTATTTTCTCAGTTTGGGAAGTTATACTGTTTTCACTCTTTAACTTTGTCCATTGTTATTTTTATTTTATGTTACTAATATTGACCAATTAACAACTTTAATTAAATATATCTGTATCAGCTAAAAAAAAAAAAACCTGAATGTGCACATCACAACTTTAAACGAGACATGGTGGGAACTGGGAACTAAAAATATGCATTATCTAATTATTTTCTATTTAGGAATGCGATGCCAGTCAGGCATGGAAGTCTGAGATATAATGTGTTTTCCCAATTCACCACAGGTTCCATCTGCACAGCATTGTAATAGCCCCACTCAGCTAATAAGCCCCTGCTAATAAGGCCGAGAGATGATGAGAAGGTGATCCTGGTAGTGGATCGATAGCTCACCACAAGGAGTCAGCACAGGGTCCTGCGTGACTCATACTCAGTGCACCACAGGGGAAACTTAGCTTTCACTTCCCAGGCCCGCTGCTTCAAAAAGAAATCTCAGAAATTAATAGAAAACAATGTTTTATAAAGTTCTATTTTGACTTTGAATCAGTAGCAAGAGAGACAGATTGACCTAAAGATAGATCCACCAATCAATCAGAATCAATAGATAGAGGACCTGCACACAAGGCAACAAGAAGACAAGCGGTTGACTGACGCCATCACCATATAAGGACGGATCTCATTGAAGCATATCAATGGAAAAGAAGCCATATTATTATTTACTTTAAAATAATAAAGCCCAACGATTAAAGTGGCAGACATACACCCATCACTGTTATTGTCCTTCTTCAATATTATCTGTGGACAATTCTTACTAAACTGCTGATTTGCATGTAAAAAAAAACCCAGGTTGCATTAAAGTTAAAAGCACAGCTCAGCAACTGTATTGTTTTTGACAAAACAAGCAACATACTTGTGTACCAGTATTTGCTGGATTGGTAGATAAGCAGATGTGGTGCTCATAATTAAGTTTTACTTACAGTTTAAATCACTGCAGGGTTTAAAAAGTGTGTGGCGTGCAATGTCATGTTTGTATGTGAGATACTCTGTAAGCAGACGAGGAATAAGGTCACTTTGTTCACATTAGCACAGCAAGCAAGGGCATGAATAATTAATCATATATTTATAATTCATGGATGTTTAAGACAAATATGTGCAATTACTGTAAAGAGGTAAAAGTCTCTCCACAGATAGAAGAGCTTGAATTTTTGATTCCCGTACTAAAAACAAAAATATCCAAGCAAACAACAAGAGAGGGAGCTGAGAATATACAAAGGGTGTTTTCTTTTCTTTCATTAGGCAAAAACTTAAGTGACAAACATGTTGCAAACACATTTGTTACCATTTGAGAATAACACCATACCACTTAAAAAGAGGGT